ACGTGCGGCGATTCATTCGCATGAACGCCGCAGAATGGACGCCAAAACCATGATGATATTCTTCTAGCTATTTTCGGTCACGACGTCGCTCGTGCTGCAAAAGTGTAGAAGGTAGCGGCGATGATCGATGTCGATACCGAAAATCGGAAGCGGGAACAGACCAAGCGTAACAAGTCGGTTATGGCCACCGGTACCAATGATCAACAACTTGTATCTACTGTTTACACCGAGCCTACTTAAGTCTTTTCAGGCCTGCATTTACTTCTTATTGCAATCACCGGGTCAAAGTTTGGTATACGGGTCGCTTTTGTTTGAACGAGCAGACGACAAAAAGCAGACAAGTTTGAAAGAGCAGACGAAAGTTCGAACGATCAGGCGGCCGTGTGAATTTGAAGACGCACTGAGCCCGTGGGTGGTCCGGACAACTTGGCGGTTTTCTCTCATTCATGTTGGAACAAAGCAAATACATCTGGCGACCACAAAGTGTTGCTCGCACACGCAATCGTAGTTCGAAAGCGTCTGGTTTGTCCTTCTCACGGCTACTATCCACGTTCTCGGACGAACGGAGGGGGCAAAAACACACGAAAACTGATCTTCAAACCTTTCCAGACCCTCTTGGTACAACCCCTGTCGTAGCATTTTGACGAGAAGGCAGGTTTTTTGTCTCGTATCTTCCAAAGGAACACAGGAACGCATGTCTGGCACGGCGACTTCTGCCCACCGCCCCAGACCGGAAGTGCGTCCGGCGCGCCACCACCGCGGCGTGACGTAGGAGAGTTGAGTTGGTGTATAGACAAGGAAAAGTAATGGCCCAAGTACAGTACCTTGGGGTACGCCAGATATTACAGGGTGAAGGAGAGAGCTGACTTCATTCGCGGTTACAAATTGCTGACGATGTGTGAGAAAGCATTCAAGCCATTTTAGTATGTTAATATCAATACCTATTTTTTTTAGTTTTAGTAGCAGGAGCTGGTGAGATACCTTATCAAATGCTTTCGCGAAATCCAGATATATACAGTCGGCGGATGATCGGTTATCGAGTATAGATTGCAACTTATGGGTGAATAAAGCCAGTTGTGTCTCGCACGAAAAAGATTTGCGAAAGCCGTGCTGTGCGCGGTGAAAAAAAGAATTTGATTCCAGATAGTTCGCGATATGGGAGAAAAGTATGTGTTCTAGAATTTTGCAAGGAACGCTAGTGATTGATATGGGTCTGTAGTTGTAGGGTGAGTGCTTGTCGCCAGATTTGTGCACGGGAACCACCCTCCCTATTTTCCAGTCCTGCGGGAGCTCACCAGAATTGAGGGATTGCTGGAAAATTTTAGCGAGGGCGACAGAGGTATAGGCTTTCGTGTTTTTTAGGAACATGGGAGTAATACAGTCAACACCAGAGGAGGAGAAAGGTTTGAGAGAGTCAATAATTTTGGCAACACCATCAGTCTCAATCTGCACAGGATACATGGGTAAATACTCAGGGTTACTAAATGAAGGCAAAACGTCAGAAAAAACACACGAAAAAGCGCTGGAAAACACGTTGTTAAGCGTATCTGAACACTGTTTGTCATCAATTGGTTCACCGTCCAAATTCGTTAGTACAATTCGCGAACTATCAGCCGGGTTCACTACATTCCAAAATTTTCTTGGATTGTTCAGCAACATATTTGGTAATGTGTTGGTTAGAAAATTTTCCTTCGCCGATTTGACTGCAGAATTATATTCATCAGCCGAGGTACGATATAGAGACCATCGATGTTGGTCACTAGACGTTTTTGCACTTCTATACATGCGTTTTTTTCGATTGGAAAGGCGCCTGATAAATGAATTATACCATGGTGCTTGCGGATTATAACAGATTACACGAACTGGAATAAAACGGTTAGCAAGCTCTGTCATCTTCGTTTTTAGAAGCTTCCAATTATATTCAACTGAGCGTGCTTCGAACCCGTTTAGAAACGCTTGTAGAAATAAAAACAGTTCATCATTGATTTGGTTAAAGTCAGCATTAGGATAATTACGTATCACTTTAGTTCTATTAGAAAACTTTTTTACAGGAATAGTCACAGAAAAATTTAGTAGAGAGTGATCACTTATTTTCGGCATGTATGTTACTTCTGAGCATAACTCGGGACAAGTAGTTAATACCAAATCTAACAGGTTCGCACTTGTCGGTGTAACTCTGGTTGGTTCGGAAATAATCTGTGTAAAGTGAAAGTATGAACATAACTCAATAAATTCCTGGCAAACAGACGAGGACGAATTTAGTGAAGGGGGGGACGTTGACCATTTGATTCCTGGATAATTAAAATCACCCAGCAAGAATACAGGGGATGTTGGGTACCGTGTGATAACGATGTTTATGGCATCATAGAGCTCAGTAACAAAGCTAGAGGAATCATTCGGGGGGCGATAGCAAACCCCGACAACCATTCTACAATGAGCTAGTTTTACAGACACCCATATAATCTCTAAGCATGACGCAATATGAAGTGCGAATGACTCAAATTCCTTTTTAATCGCTATTAGTACACCACCACCTTGCCTCGTTTCCCTATCTCGTCTGTAGAAATGAAATTGATTGGACAAATCGAATATTTCATTTTCACGAATGTTACTGTTAAGCCATGTCTCTGTTAACACGACAATATCGGCAGAGCAAGAATCAATAGCAGAAGAAATTTCGGTGCGGTTTCTGACAACGCTTCTGATATTAGTAAATAAAATAGAGACTTGTGATAAGGATGCACGATAACCACAGCCCCTCGGTAACCCCTACGTGTCTGACGTATCACGTTGCCTGGATGACGCAGCGTGTTGTCCCGAGGGCACAGTTGTTGGTGTATCGGTAGTAGCTGATTGTGATATCGGAAGTCGTGACTCACAAATTTTATCGGAGACAGGGTCGTACGTGTATAATTTTCCATTAACGGACAGTTTGTTGTATTTCAGCTGGAAGGAGGGACTGTTAGGCATCGTTTTGGCAAATTCGGTCAGCTTCCTCCGTACTTCGCGCGTCGCGGGTGAAAAATCCTCAGTTACACTCACGTCGTGTTCTTTCAGTTTAGCTTTGGCCTGAAGTACCTTTTCTTTAGTTTTAAAACTAGAAAATTTTATTATTACGGGGCGGCATCTTGAGCCGGAAAATTTTCCTAAACGGTGAGCGCGTTCGATATCAACCGAGGCTAGCTGAATACCAATCCAGTTGGACAACAAGTTTGATACCTTTTCTTCTGTTTGTGGCCACGTTTCCTGAATATCAGGAATTCCGTGGAAAATCAAATTGTCACGCCGTGACCTGTCCTCTAGTTCGTTAATACGAGTCTGCAATAATTGGTTTTGTCTTTGAAGACCTTCTACCGTGTTGGAAGTATTCCGCAAATCAACTTCAACACTATCTAGCACCTCTAGCTTCTCTTCGACAGCTGTTAATCTACCGCCTATATTTGTAAGCGTAGATTCAATGTTTTGTTGACCGTTTCTAATTTCAGTGATGCTTTGTTTTAATTCCTGATTACCTGTTGCTATTTCAGCTGATTGCTTTTGAAGATCGCGCAACATACGCAAAATTTCTATGTTTTGCTCTGCCTGGGTCAGTGCAACCGCTCCCTCAGTATTATCTTCTGTCATACTAACCATGGGCTGGCTAGTTTTTCCTTTGGTGGACTGTGACGACGTGGTTCGTGTGAAAGGGCCGGGATTGGACTCTATGTCACCCGACATCAATAAAAGAAGACAATTTTTCAAGTACTCCAATATCACACTAAGAAACACCCGTGGGCTCGGGAACAGCAATAGCAAACGTTTGTTTTTGTTTTTTAGGTTCAAAGGAATGTGGATACCCACCTGAGGTACGAAGAAACAAGGTTTGTAAGCCATTGCGGCCGTCGCGCTGCTCCCGTGCCCACTGGAGAATTCACTGAACTGCCAGCCTTTTACATCTGGCGCTGCGGGCGTCGTCGATGTCGATGGGTTTTCTTTGATGAAGCGAGGCGAATCGTAGATCCAGGTGGCCTGCTTTACGTCATCATGTCGGCGGGAATCGCCGACTGGAACTTGCGGCAGCGAATCCATGGTGATGAAGTCGAAGGCGAAACCATTATACCGGGACGCGCAGTAAGCCAGGAGTGGTAGTAGGACCTGAGGTACGAAGAAACAAGGTTTGTAAGCCATTGCGGCCGTCGCGCTGCTCCCGTGCCCACTGGAGAATTCACTGAACTGCCAGCCTTTTACATCTGGCGCTGCGGGCGTCGTCGATGTCGATGGGTTTTCTTTGATGAAGCGAGGCGAATCGTAGATCCAGGTGGCCTGCTTTACGTCATCATGTCGGCGGGAATCGCCGACTGGAACTTGCGGCAGCGAATCCATGGTGATGAAGTCGAAGGCGAAACCATTATACCGGGACGCGCAGTAAGCCAGGAGTGGTAGTAGGACCCGAGGTACGAAGAAACAAGGTTTGTAAGCCATTGCGGCCGTTGCGCTGCTCCCGTGCCCACTCTGCGGTTACGGCGCTGCTGCCATAATCACGTACCGCCGTTTCCTGTTTCGCCTCCATTTTTCTACTCTGGTGAGCACGCATCGAGCCCTGTTACCAAGGATGTGGCCGCTAAATGCATCTGATAACACCGGTATCCCTCTCAGCTCCAAGCCGTTTATGTTAAGGTTGAGTCGGGGATGGAGTCTCGCTGGGTTTCGCCCATCGCTCACGTCCTGCTCATTTCTCCCGTAAAGCGTCCCCCTTGTCAATACCCTTTTATGAACAGTTTCTCCCATCATCTGTTTCGATTCACGTTACGAGGCGAGTTTTGCGAGTCTCTTCTACTTTCTTCGTTAATCAAATGGTCCAAATTAGCCCCATGACATGCATACATCACTCAGATAACACCCTTGAAGCAACAGATATTGATGCTCCAATTGTTTAAAGTTGTTTCTGACTAATTTGTAATCTTGCGCATCATTAGCGAGGCACGAGCTCGGAACGAAGAAATGACTGAATGAATGGCCAGGTTCGGGACCTGGTGTTCAACCTGCACATGATCCTGTCGGACACGGTCAAGATGAAGGAGTTCCAGGAGGACCCCGAGATGCTGCTGGACCTGATGTACCGCATTGCCAAGGGATACCAGAACTCGCCCGACCTGAGGCTCACCTGGCTCGCCAACATGGCCCAGAAACACACTGAGGTGGGCACGCTCTCTTTTATTCGTAAAGAACTCGGGTTTCACAGCACGTGCGTCTCTTGCCGCCACGAAGTTGGTCGGCTGCCGAAGGCGTCCGGGACAAGAGGCAGCTTGTCAATCGCAAATACTCTTGCTCTAATTTCTTGTTTGGCACGCACCTGCATGCAACCCGCACACATCCTTGCCATGCCGTTATGGCACGTAGAGGCGGCGGCGCGGGGACGACGCCACCATTACACGGGGCTCCAAATGGAATGTTTCACCGAAGATTGTGTGTGGCATTCCAGCAAATCTTTCCTTAACCGTTGCCTTTGTCCCGAACATGGCACAAGCTTACTAACTGCGGTCACGGCGTTCCGGAAGGATGACCGGCTGTTTGCGGTGACCTTATTTCGGTAAAGAGAGACTCAACGAAGTTGCTTTCAGTTATGAACAAAAGAAAGCATTTTTGACCTTACATTTTGCGGACCCATTCCAGAATATTGGGCGTTCGCTGACCTCGCAATCCCTGGATGGGTTCCTGCTTGTGTCATCTATCCCGTGTTTTATTTTTGTCCGAAGGGACTTACTTTTTTTAAACAATACTTCATACTGTTATCTTCATCGTTTTCCTTTCACTTGAATGTACTTTGACTTATGGGATGTGGAAATCGGGGAAAATATGGTTAAACAAAGTAAAGTTTCTTTCCCTCCTTCGTTTTAATTGGTCAAGGGTGTCCTCTGACTGTATGATCCCCGGTCGTGACATTCGGGATGGTGAGCGTTCGCGGATTGCGAGGTTCGCATTGGGGTACTTGTAGAGGTGAGCAATTGGGGTAGTAGTAGATGCGGTGTTTCGTAACACTTTCCCTGAGGAAAGTGTTACGAAATGAGAGCGCGCCGCGTCGTGTGCCGTGCTCATTATGCGTACCTTCGCCGCCGCTGCCGCGCGCTCCACATAATGAGCAGGGCTCGCATAATAAGCACGGCTCGTTATGAGGGCCACGTGAAACTTCTCAACCTCGGCCAGTGTAGCTATTGCTACAAAACATATCGCGTGTCCAGTCGCCGTAGGCAGCCACTATCTCCGCGACCGGCGAACTGCACGGGCATTGCACTGGTCACACCGGTGAAGTGGCTTTAGTGACGCCGACTATACTCTGTTTCATGGTGACTTGGCAAACTGCGGAGGCTACGGCCCCCGCAACCCAATGAGAGCGTCAGAGGGAGGCGCACGACACCACGTCATGGGGGAGCGTTTGTGTCGACCATGGAGTGGTCAAGTGCCTCGCTCCGATGCTCTTATTGGGTCGCGGGGCCCTAGCCTCTACTGTTTGCCAAGTTATCGTAAAATGGAGTATAGAATGTCCGTAATCGGTCACTTTCTCATTTTTAGTATAAACTATTTATTGTATTTACTCTCATAACAAACGCAGTCTTCACAACATAATTTTAAGTATTAATTTTTCTCTTCTTCCACCGATTCGCCGAGTCAATTAAGTCCCCGAGCAGCCGGGCCGAGCCAAGCCAAATCAAGCATGGCAGCAGACGTGCGCTAGCTATGGGTGCGTTCAACGGAGTAACTGCGAGGCATGCATGACCAACAAAACTGGGGTTTAGGAACCCTCCAGTCCTTGGACATGTTTCGTCCGTCGGATGTATTGACGTCGACGAACATGCCATGGCCTGTGAACCATTTCGGACGCCGAAATTGGGAGGCCTTGGGACGGTTGCATCAGTTTTTATGCCGAGTGCTGGCGATGTGAAAACTGTGTGGAGTGTCAGAGGGCACTTTTTCCTACCCGAAAAAGACGATGAAAGTTCAGTCTTCACACTATGGCGTGCTCGGCTCGCTTTCATAAGGAGAGCCTTTCCGAGTTTAGTGATTGGACCAAGCAAGGCCCCTTTGGACCATGTGCTGCTTCTGCATTTTCACCCTCGAACCTAACAAGTGCCCATCCTCCAGTTTTCTATGATTATCTCCTAATCCTGAGTGGGTGCTTGCTGGGTATCTTACGGTAATTGAGAAGAAAGAACAAATGCTAAACTTGACCCGATGGGAATTGAACCGGTGACCCCACGGTTAAGAGCTTGACATTTAATTTACTACTGTTCGAAGGTTGTTTGCTCTATAACTGTTTGAACACAAACACTGAAAGCTGGATGCCGGCGTTGGACATTCATGTTTGAACAGTGGGAAGAGAGAAAGGCAGCTAGCTTTGCGTTTTTCCGCTAGTCATTTTAACCGGAGCTTGGTACTTTGACATCTCTTTCAAGCTCTCATCTCCTCAATTTTTATTGTTTTAGAGCGCAGCTCTTAGGGGCCCATTTCCGGCTTGAGCGGCGTCGCCGTCGGCGTAACCGCGCGGTGCATTATGGGTAAATTTCCCCGCTAAATCTAGCGGAAAAATTTCTCCGCCAAATTTAGCGGAAAAATCTAGCAAGAAGAATTCCCCACTAAATCTAGCGGAAAAATTTCCCCGCTAAATCTAGCGGGAAATATTCCCCGCTAAATCTAGTGGAAAATATTCCCCGCCAAATCTAGCGGAAAAATTTCCCCGCTAGATTTAGTGGAAAAATTTCCCCGCTAAATCTAGCGAAAAAATTTTCCCCGCTAGATTTAGCGGAAAAAATTCCCCGCTAAATCTAGCGGAAAAATTTCCCCGCTAAATCTAGCAGAAAATATTCCCCGCTAAATCTAGCGGAAAAATCTCCTCGCTAGATTTAGTAGAAATATTTCCCCGCTAAATCTAGCGGAAAAATTTTCCCCGCTAGACTTAGCGGAAAAAATTCCCCGCTAAATCTAGCGGAAAAATTTTCCCGCTAAACCTAGCGGAAAAATTTTCCCACTAAATCTAGCGGAAAAATTTCTCCGCTAAATTTAGCGGAAAAATTTCTCCGCTAAATCTAACGGGAAAAATGCCCCGCTAAACCTAGCGAAAAAATTTCCCCGCTAAATCTAGCGGAAAAAATTCCCCGCTAGATCTAGCGGAAAAATTTCCCCGCTAAGTCTAGCAAAAAAATGTTCCCGTTAAACCTAGCGGAAAAAGTTCCCCGCTAAATCTAGCGGAAAAAATCCCCGCTAAATCTAGCGGAAAAATTTTTCTGGGGGGTCACGTGACCCCCCAAGGTCACGTGACCCCCCCCCCCAACCCCGAGAACAGGTAACCCTCAGTACCCTTCCCTCCTCCTCCTCAAGAGCTGCGCTCCCATTCGGTGTTACAGGGAATTGTAAAGGGCTTTCATTTTTTTTTTTCTTTTTTTTTCAGTTTTTATTTGTATAATTATAAAGAGGAAATAAAATAACTGCCAAGTTTGCCACGAGCATAAAAGAATGTGACGGAAACATGTTCTGTGCATGCCGACTTCATTTGTAGAATCAAGATGAATTTTCCTTTCTATTGCAGCGAGGAAACCATGCAGAGGCCGCCCACTGTCTCATCCACTCTGCCGCCCTGGTGGCAGAATACTTGCACATGCTCGAGGACAGGCCTTGCCTGCCTGTGGGTTGCATCTCCTTCGAGGTATGTCTGTCGTCTGCACATTGCGTAGTCCATCTCATAAGTTCTTCGCAGCCATTCTTTGGGGTTGTCGCAACTTTTTGGGGTTTTTGAAAAAAGATTAATATTATTTTCTTTGTAAGTCATCTACAAGTTGCATAGTCTGACCATCTTGGAAGCTTGCTGCGGCATTTCCTTGGCTTTATACTTTTGTGCGATGAGCATCACAGAAAGAATTGGAAGTTTGTTTCAAATGATAGTCGGCAATCATTTGATGCAAGGGCATTTTGTAGCTGTTGGGTCCGATGTTATACTACAAAGAGCTGGGGCTTGCAAATGGAAAGCGGCTTTTTACGGAATTTCAGAACTTGAACCTCATGCATTTGAGGAATAACAATATTTAACCTTTTTAAGGTCATCACTCTAGCAAAAATTCCCATAGAAAAACCAATAGCCTATTGCTTTATTGACACCTATGGGTGTATCAGTCTATAGGTGTATCTGCCAATAGGTGTATTGGCCTACTGATTTCGCACTCTAAGATTCCACTAATTTCAAAGCACTTGGTTTCACTTAAACATGGTATTTCTGAGCCAGGTAGAAAGCAACAATGAACTCGAAAATTAGGAAAGGAAAATATCCAAATCACAAGCGCGGCGATACAATAAGTGGGCCGTCATGGAGGTTGGTTGCAAAGGTGTGATAAATTTTTTCTGAAGTTTTTGGGCGCAATTTCATAGCGCAGTCAGTGGCAGTTGCAGGAGTTTCCATAAGGGGGAGTCACATATCAATTGTTTGAGAAAACACCCCCTTTTCTTTTTATTGCCCTAAAATATTACACGCTTGGAATTCAAAGGGGGGGGGGGGGAGGGGAAGGGGGGGGGGGGGGAAGGAAGGAAGGGGCAGGACATTCAAACCCCTCCACTCTGAATCCACCACTGACTGCAATAATGTACCCATGCTCTGCCATTGGTCCTGAAAACTAGAGATGTTATATCTTCTTTTTGAATTCTTTTCTAAGTACACGTTATGTCATCAGTGTCCCAACGAGATGTTTTCAATACCTTGTAATGTATTGGGCTATTTGGGCTATCATTTGGCTATTTTTGTGCCTCACAAAAATTTGGTTAATTAGTTAATTTGGCTAAAAAGTTAAAAACAGTGTAGACCACATTTAACGTATGTCGCGGGAGTCGTGAAAATCCGCACTATAAGCGGTACCGCGCTGTAAACCAAAACATAAATTTTTCAGGCCAAAATACATGCCATGAGACAACTTACCTTTGTAAAAGAATTTATTTTATGTTAGATGAAAAATAAAGCTTAGTTTGAGGAAAGTCTTTATTCCACCAGACCAGTACACTTCTCTCTCAAGTGTGTCACACATTTTGAAAGAAATGAGCGACTTTTGCCTGGAGCAGCCTTTTAACGGTGTCGCGGGTTGCGGACGGACGTTGCGAGCGTTCAGGATTGCTAACCCTAATCACTTTTCTCTGGCGATGAAAACACTTGAAAATTCGCATCCTTTATACGGTATGCGCCAGTAATACCTTCAACTTGAGCACAGGCATGAAATGCTCCAAATAAGAAATCCGGGTGATGTTCGAAAACACAAATGCTTAGAAAGCACCACTGTAGTCGAAGTAAACAAACACGATGCCACGGGCGTTTCTGCCGTCTCGAGAGTGCCGCCACGACATTGCCGCACGAGTAGGTGGATCTTCCCTTCTAGTACGTGCTGGTTTATCATAGCGACACACAACGAAAATTCACAGTCAAGGATAGCGCTTTTACGCGGAAGGACGAGCTTCCACCATGCCGTCTACGTCGACGATCACAACCGACGCCATGTTTGCGGATAGAAGAAGCCGGCCCGCGACCGGCATGCAACGCGCGCGAACACTTCTCCTCAACCTGCAGTTGGTCTGTCATTGCGGTTGTTTCCAACGCAGCAGAGGGACGCACGCACGTGAACGACACGTGCATGCGTTCCTCCGTCGCTATGGCAGCTGAAGCCTCTCTCTTCTCTTCTCCCCGCTTCTTCGAGCAACCTCCTTGCCATCCTTGCCCCCGCGAGTGCCGCTTGCAGCTAGCACCGTTATCTAGTGTCGCACAGGGAAGCGTGCTCGCTGCGCCGGTCGGTCGGCGCGGTCGGCGGGCTGTTCCAGAAACGGCACTATAACCGGTATTTCCCTTCGCGCGCCTGCATTTTAAGCGGTATGTAATTATATGGAGTTCTATGGGAGACGAACCGGTAATTTAAAAAAGCCGCGTTATACCCGGTCCTGCACTATAAGCGGTTACGTTGTAAGTGGTCTATACTGTAGCTTGCAACCCCTGCTTGCCGCACGACAGGGTCGCCAACAAGCTCCTTTAGTTCCAGTTGTTCAATGTGTCGATCAACCTGGAGGTTGAGGGTAAGGGTTGTACCTTCAAAAAGTGAATGCTCGCATATCCGCCAAGACACTGCCCCCTCCAACGACCGGTCAGGTACAGCCTCTGCCCGAGGACGAAGATAGCTCACGCAGGGTAGCGGCGTAAGCTTCAAATGCCTGGCATTTGAGGATGCTTCATCAGCTCGTTGGTTGGGGTCGAAAAGTGCTTGTCCGGCACTGCAAGTGCCTCTTGGAAGACGTCCCTCTCGTCACCCATCTTGGCGGCTTTGTCATTGCTGGACTGTGCCGTCTGGAGCCATGCAGTAGCAAATTTGTCCCTCCGGACCCAGTGCATTGAGAGCCTTCCTGGGCTTCGGTGCAAAATTGTTTTCACTGACGGCTTCCAACAAGTTGAGGAAGGCAGGCTTCTCCACCACGGAACAGGGGCCGGCGTAGCCAGAAACGAGGCGGAAACAGACTCAAGTTAAACGTTGCGGCACCGGTCACGGGCGGGACAAAAAGGCATAACGGCGTAGCTTAATCCTAGTCGCCATTATGTTGTGTCCTAGAACAGACACGTGAAGAAAATGTGACTGCTCAGAGTAGTTGGTGGCCAAGGAGTGTTGTTTATTTACAAATTAGCATCTTTTATCCTGAATGGTATTGCACATGGTAGCTGGATGACGTGAACGATAAAAACATGGTTTGCGACATAAAACGAGAGCACAAGTCTTAACCGTTGTAACGAAATTATGAACCTAGATATCATAGTGATATTTATATCATAGTGAGTTGTGAGTGTAGCTGTCAGAAGGGGGCCATGAATATACCGTATTTACTCGCACAATGAACGCACTCGCGTAATGAACGCACCCCCCAAGTCGGCTCTCAAAATTTTGACTTTTTTTTCACTCGCGTAATAAACGCACCCCCAACTCGGATGTCAAAATTTTGACCCCCTCCCCCCATGCGCGCGAAATGAACACACTTTTTTATCCTGGTGCAGCGAGTTGTGTGGGCGAACAAAACGGGCGTTAAAAAATTCGCAAACATCCAACGGAAGCAAGAAGAAAAAAAAACATGAAGAGGAGCTTTTTTTTTATTTTTTATTTTTTTGCACAGCGCAGTCTGGACTTTGGGTTTGCGCGCCGCTGCAAGGAGGTAAGAAAGAGAAGCAGAGAAGCGCTCTAAGCGAACGAAACAGCTTGCGAAAGGCGGCAGAAAGAAAAAAAAACAATAAAAATCAACGAACTAAGAGAAAACAAAACAAAGAGGAGCTTTTTCTTTCTTCTTTTTGCACAGCGCAGTTTGGTTACGGGGGGGGGGGGGGGGGGGGGGGGTAGTGCGTCCTGCGCCATGCGCAAGAAGATAAGAAAGATAAGTGGAGAGCCCTCGCCTAAGCAACGCCTAAGCAAACAAAACAGCTTGGGAAAAGTGACAAGACGGGGTCGGGCGCCGCGCGCGCGCGCGCAGAGATAAGAAGTTATTTTGATTTTTCAAGGTAAAAGGTCCGTTCATTATGCGAGTAAATACGGACGCAAAAATTTTACTTCGCGTAATGAACGCCCTCCCTAACTTTGCATCGATTTTTCGGGAAAAAAAGTGTGTTCATTCTGCGAGTAAATACGGTAGTAGTCTGTCATAAGGGAGATATATGTGTGGAGCTGTTGTAGGGGAGTTACGAGTATAGCTGTCATAAAGAACATACAACTTGTTGCTGTCAAAAGAAAGTTTTTGATATAGCTGTTGTGTGGGAGTTATAGGTCTAGCCGCCATAATGGAATTACGAGCCTAGCTGGCATAGTGAGTTACGAGCGTACCGTAATCTCCCGAGAGATAGCCCACCTAAAAGCGAGAGCAAATTGAGTAATGAGGAGTGGGCTAACTTTCGGTGTGCCATCAAGAAAATATTTAAGTCTGCTACTTTTATATTCTGTGACCTGCCAAGCTTGTTTTCTAATTGAGGGGCAATGGAGCATAGAAAACTGTCCTTCCCAGTTGGATATGCTAACTTATCTCTCACTGTGGCTGAGTAACACCAATTCTGCCGAGGTCATCATGGGCCAGAGCCCTCCAAGAGGTGGGCTACCTTTTGGTGTTTTTGAAAGAATGGCAAATCGTGCCATAAATAGAGGGTCGGTTATCTTTCGGTGGTGGGGCACCTCTCCGTGTATTATGGTAGCTGTCAGAAAGAGGCTATGAATATAGAAGCCATAAGTCTGTCGTAAGTTTTGCCGTCATAAGGGAGTTAGGAGCTGTCAGAAAGAAGGTACAAGCGTTGCTGTCATAAGCAAGTTACGAGTATAGCTGTTATATACTCTGTTTCATACTTAACGTGCAACGCTGTCAAAGCTACTGGCGCGAGCACGTGGCTTCATCTATGGTATTGTTTGCGCGAGACCGCGTGCCAATGATCAAAGAGATCAAGCCCCACGCTCGCGCCAGTAGCTTTGACAGCGTTGCACACTAAGTATGAAACAGAGTATAGGTAGGGTGGCTATAAACCTCAATTATCGAGGTAGGGGGCAGGCAGAAAATCTCCGCTACTTTCAGTTCAGTGTGAAAGTGCTAATTTTTTCATATTCTCGGTTGAAAACACGAGTGTCCGTTTTTAAACAATGGGGGTAGAAACTTGGCCAATTGAAGAAT